CATCCTGACATCTGGTTCCAGTTCTTGGGGCTGACAAGGCAGTAATCGTCCCTGAGCAAGTCAGAGATGTGCCGTCCAGTTTCAGTGTGGTCTGAACTAGTATTTCATTTTTCATTCTTTACCATACAAGTGTCCTCAGATCTGCTCATTTTCAGTACAAATAGCCTATATTTGGGTGTATGTACGTCTGTATGAGCTGTCGTCATCGCCCTCTGCTTCGGGGTCCCAGCCCTTCCCGTCACTGAGGGCACTGCCGTGGAGGTGTGTTTGCGTGTTGTCACTTCCCACACGGGTGTGACTCAGGTCCTCAGAATGGAATCCGGTTCCCTGCGTGTTGCCCCTGCATCCTCCCACACACACGGGTGAGGAGGGAGCATTGCTGCAAGAGAACATGTGGATGTTGCAGGACACAGTGGTCTTTGCGGATGTGGCTGTGAACTTCACCCCGGAAGAGTGGGCTTTGCTGGATCGTGGTCAGAGGCGGCTCTACAGGGATGTGATGCTGGAGACCTGCAGGAACCTGGCCTCCCTGGGTAAGCGTGGCTCCACCCCGCCTCTAGAGTTGTAGGGAACGAGTGTTTCTTAGAAGTGTCTGATCTTCCTTGGGCCGAGGAATGGGAATATGCTGGAGGAGAGACAGACGTGGCCCAAGCCTTCATGGAAACTACCGAGGGTCACATACCTTTTGGTGAAAACAGAGTTTCATGTGTTAAATTGGCTATTGCTTCTATCAAAGTCTGAGACTCCCTAATTTTATCAGTGTGAGGCTGGGCTCCTTTGTGGTTTTCAGTTCTGCGAAAGATGCGCTGTGGTTCATACCCATTTCTCCTGGTAATCATGCTGCAGTTAAACTCGCACTTTGTCCTCTTCGGTGACCTTGAAGACCAGATTAACAGCCCATCTTCCAGACTGCTTGTGGCCCTTCAGATCCTCCCTCCTGCTGGGCTGTCGTGGGGAGCTCTCGGCAGCCACACCCACCGTCCCACCTCCAGTGGCAGCTGGGGCAGTGCAGCCTCCCCTGATGGCCTCAGTGCCTTCAGAACGGTCCAGCAGCCCTCAGTAGGAGAAGGGAGAAGGGAATGGCATTTGCGCATGTCCGTTAGAAACGTGACTCTGTCCTTGTTTTGAGAAGGTGATTTTGTCACTCACGTGGCCTCCTGTCAGACATTTCATCCATCCTTGCCCACGTGGCAAGCCTTTCCGTGTTCTTACAGAAGTAGGGTGTGGATGTGAGGATTTTGCCCAGTTCCGATAATCCTATCTCCACATTAGTCACCACTGATTTTAAAGCATTTCCGCATAAACAGGCTGCCTTTTCATACGCTTTTCCTCTTATTGCCAAAGTCCCAAAGCACTAAGGTCCTTAGAATTTTTCTGTGGTCACATGTTCATTCTTCCTGATGAACTTCATTTACATTTGGGATCAGTATATGAAGAGAAATCCCCAAATGGTCTGTTTTCTGAATTTTCTTACCATTAAACATCAGGTCATTCCCAAGAAGTTAAATTGTGCTTCCAATTCTTGCAGACCGTTGCACTCAAGTTAACCCTTGTGGATCAGGGATTCAGCTGAATATTTTGGAGAATGAACTATCCAGTGAAGATAAAATAGTAACATTTACAAGAAATGATTCCTGGGCTCTTTTTGGAGAAAACTGGGTGTTTCATCACATTGGAGATCAGACCCAATCCCAGGAGAGGAGTTTGAGGTGAGTGCCTCTCTCTCCCATAGGAGAAAGGGGGATCTTGGCAAATTGTTAGAATAACTTGAAATTAAAGAAGGCATGGAGTTATAAACCTAGCTCAACAGTTGCGTAGTCAGAATTAAACAAGTTCTTCCTAAATGTGATGTAGTATTGATTAGCAGATATATAATTCAGCTCCAGACATTTATCAGGAAAACCCACATGTAAGAAAGTTTGACAGTTATGGCTATCACCGGGCCCTTATTCTGAGCATTTGGCTTCTTCTACATCATAGCAGTGTAGACAGTGACACAAACATGCCCATTCCTTGGAAGTGGCCATTATGTATCAAGTAATCATTAATATCAATAGATCGTTAATAAAGAAATCAGTTAAAATCATTATTCCGTAACAGTGTGCCTTCCCATTTTGAACAGAAGTCGTTTGGTGAAGCGGGTCTGTGAAAGCAGCAAAGATAATCGATGTGGAGAAACCAGAAGGCAGATGACAAGTCTTACCGTGCGTGCGGATCGTCCTACTGGAGACAAGTCCTGTCAGTGCGCCAAGTGTAGAGAAGCCTTCACAGATGGTTCTTTCCCTGAGAATCCACAAAGATCCCACCCTGGACACAAACCTAGTCCTTGTGAGGAATGCAGGCCGGCCTGCAGCTGTGTCTCGAGCCCCAGCCCTCACGTGGACACAGGCCTCGTAGAGAAACCTTATGAACCTCAGGACACTGGGGGAGCTTCGAAGAGAGACTTGAAGAGTCACGGTAGTAAAAAATCTTTAGAGTGCAAGAAATGTGGAAAAACTTTCACTTGCAGGTCGTCCTTTCGGGGTCACGTGAAGGATCACTGTGGACAGAGAGTCCATGCGTGTGACGTGTGTGGGAAGGCCTTTATGTATCAGTCTTACCTTACACGTCACATGAGAACTCACACTGGGGAGAGACCCTATGAATGTGTGGAGTGTGGAGAAGCCTTTGGGTCTGCTTCAAGTCTGCAAAGACATGTGAGGACACACACTCTGGAAAAACCCTGTAAATGTCAGCAGTGTGGGAAAGCCTTCCCTGGTGACTACTCCCTTGAAGCACACATGAGAAGACACGAAAAGGACAGAACCTTGGAATGTAAGGAGTGTGGGCAAAGTTTCAGGAAGCATCTGCCTTTTGAACGTCACATGACCACTCACAATGTCATGAAACCCTATGAGTGTAAGGAGTGTGGCAGACTCTTCAGATATCACACAGCCCTTGGAGACCATATGAGGACACATACTGGGGATAGACCCTATAGATGTAAGGAATGTGGGAAAACTTTCCGGAAGTCTGAACATTTTAAACGTCACATGACCACCCACAGTGCTGTGAAACCCTATGAATGTAACCGGTGTGGCAGATCATTCCGGGATCACACAAACCTGCGCATCCATATGAGGACGCACACTGGGGAAAGACCCTATGAATGTCAGCAGTGTGGGAAGACCTTCAGATATCTTGGAAATCTCCGGGAACATACGACAACTCACACGGGAGAGAGACCGTATGAATGTCAGCAGTGTGGGAAGACCTTCAGGTATAACTCATGCCTGCGAGAACACATGTGGAAGCACACTGGAGAGAGACCCTATAAGTGTCACCACTGTGGAAAAGCCTTCATTCGTCACCACACCCTTGTAGTACATACTGTGAGAAGGCACACCAAGGGTGGACACTTGGAATGTAAGGTGTGTGGTGAAACTTTCAGAAAGCATCGACCTTTCGAACGTCACATGGCCACACACGGTATCCTGAAACCCTATGAATGTAAGGAGTGTGGAAGAGCCTTCAGGTGCCACAGAGACCTACAGGTACATACAAGGATACACACTGGGGAAAGACCCTTCAAATGTGAGCTGTGTGGAAAAGCCTTTAAGTCTCCTGCAAACCTTCGAGGACATACAAGGACACACACTGGTGAAAGGCCCTGCAAGTGTCAGCAGTGTGGGAAAATCTTCTCGACTCCTGGACGCCTGCAAGTACATATGAGGACACACACTGGGGAAAGACCCTGTAAATGTGAGCAGTGTGGGAAAGCCTTCACCTCTCCTGGAAACCTACGAGCTCATATGAGGACACACAGTGGGGAAAGACCCTGTAAATGCCAGCAGTGTGGGAAAGCCTTCACCCGTGCTGCGTCCTTGCGGGTACATATGAGGACACACACTAGGAAGAGACCCTATGAATGTCACCACTGTGGCAAAGCCTTCAGGAGTCCATCGCACCTGGAAGCACACACGTGGACACGGGAGAGACCTTTTAAGTGTAGAGTGTGGGAAAGCTTTCAGTTGGCCTCAGTGTTTTCAAGATCATCTGAAAACGCACAACACAGTTAAATCCTATGAATGCAAGGAGTGTGGGAAAGCATACAAGTTTCCCTCATCCCTTCGAGGGCATATGAAGAAACACAGTGGGGAGAGAACTTCACCGGTCACTACTCCCTTCAGGAACACGTGAGGAATCACAGTGAACAGTAACCTTTTGTGAATCTACAGACTCTGGTAAGACCTTCCAGTATCACACAGAACTGCAAGTATCTGTGATGACGCTCACTAGACGAGAATCGTGTGAATGTCCACGCTGTGGGAAAGCCTTCAGGTTCCCTCTAATCTTCGGGGATGCTTGTGAGAACACAGTGATATGAAACCCTGAGAAGTTAAGAACCATGGAAAAGCCTTCCAGTATTTCCTCAATCTGGGAGCAATAGACACTGTGCGAAAGCATTTAATCGCCCTAAAATCGTTTTGTAAATGAGAGCCAATATACTGGAGACAAACCTGAATGGACACAATTTGGGGAACACTTCCCGTATAGAACTTCATGTATTTTGTTCATAACAGTTGTGGCAGGACAGAAATCATTTCATTGTTACAAACATGGCTTTGTTTTTCAAGTGCCTCTTCCATGGTAGAGATGCGAAGTGTCTTAATTTCTAGTTTGTGTTGCTGATACGAACACTCATGGTGGTAAGTGACCCTTGTCCTCTACATGTGTACGACATACGTTTTGTTGTCTCAGACTTGAAGTAATCACCTGGTCATGTAAAACACATTTCTTTTCCATTACAATGTCTTTTAGACTCAGGTTGATAAGAACGTGTCTATGGGAGGGGTGTGTGTGTGTACAACTTTATATAATTTTAGAAAAAAGAAAAAAAATGTGAAGTTCATATTCCAAAAATTTCCCAATTTGTGATCATCACATGAGACTTTTTGATTCTTAAAAGTTCTTTTCTGTTTTCTGTTGCTAATACTAGAATTTCCTGACTCTGAATCACCTCTGTATTTTCAGTCTTCAGTATTGAAACACATGTTTTCACCTAAATTTTCTCCTTTTATTGAGGAGAAATAAAAAAAATTTATTGTTAAATTTTTTATGTTGTTTTTACCTCTTCTGAGAGTTATTGTTGGTGTCTTTGGTTGATTTTGTTCCAATATGACTTGGAAGAATGTGCCTCTTGACCATTGCTCAGGATCGCTTGTTTTTTTTCCCCGCGGTCAGTGATGGTGGTGGGAATATCTCCGAAGTGCTTTCTTCTTACCCTCAGGAGCCAAAGTCTGCCGTGCACAGTGCCAGTAATAGCAGCCAGAACTCCTGCCAAAATACAGCATAACGTACATTTTAGGCATAGGAGCCTCTTCAGTTTTATTGACATTGGATGTAACAACATTTCATGGTTTCCATAATATTCCACAGTCCTGAGGTACCCCAGTAGCATACCAGTTGGACTAGTGTTTGTGGTTTTACCCTTGGCAAAAGGAGAGAGTGTAACTCACACTGTTGGGTTGGACATCAAATGGGATAGCATTGCTGTCTCAGACCTTCAAAAGAATTTGCAGGGTGCTTGGACGACTAGGTCGGTGGATTATGGAACTCTTAGTCTTGGCATTGTAGGTTTGAGCCCCACATTCTGTGTAGAGATCATGTAAAATAAGTAATCATCAAATAACATCTTAAAAAGAGAAAGGATTGGGACGCCTGGGTGGCTCTGTTGGTTAAGCAGCTGCCTTCGACTCAGGTCATGATCGCAGAGTCCTGGGATCGAGTCCCACATCGGGCTCCTTGCTCGTCAGGGAGCCTGCTTCTCCCTCTGCCTCTGCCTGCCATTCTGTCTGCCTGTGCTCGCTCGCTCTCCCTCTCTCTCTCTCCCTCTCTCTCTCTGACAAATAAATAAAATATTAAAAAAAGAGAGAGAAAGGATTCCCAGAAGCACACCCAAGATAATGTTTACTACGTTCATGCTTTTTAAAATACCTACCAGTAAACTATGAAAACAGTCTTTTTTCCTTAGAAGAGTGACCTGTAATGTCACCGGGACTCAAAACATGATGTGTCTGCATTAAGGATGAGGGGTTTTGTCTGGATCCCAGTGTGGTCTGGTTCCAAGATCAGATACCATACGTGTTTCTCTTGAGTTTGAGCAAACTTTAATTTTTTGAGACTTTATGTCCCTTTAAAACAAAGTTTCAACAAGTAGATGATGCCTTCCATTGAAAGGCAGAGAATGAAATTGTCTCCATAGAGTGACAAAGTAGAGACGCAGAAGATTGTCCGCCATCCAGAGCTGCCTTAGGGGTCCATGGAAAGTACAGAAGACTCTGCGGTTCCCTGCGGCATGACTGTCTGTGGGTATTATCCAAGTGAAAGCAAAAACTCGCTACACTTACCAGCTGGAATCCCAAATCCAGTGCATAGGTAAGTTACGATGGAAAATTTCCTCTGGTGGCAACGGATGTCCGTGGCCTTTGGGGTTAGAAATAACGGTGTGGAGGCATGAAAGTGTTACTTATTGCTGAGAGGTCCTGGATAGATGTCCGTTGCCAGCCATTGGGTTTTCTCACCAGGAAGACAGTGTTACATTGAGTAGAGCTGAGTGATCATGAGACGCTAACGCTTTTCATCTTCTATCATGGGCTTGATGCCCTGAAGTGCATCTTTATAGACTATTGTCTTGTCTCATTCTCCCAAGAGACTTTGAGAAATACAGTTTTATCTTTACGAGGCATACTGTGGGTTCTGCCAATCTCAGCTGAACGCGTTGCCCGTAAAGAACAAGGTGGCAGATCCAGTAGGAACAGACCCCATGGCGCCATCAGAGACAGAACGTGCAGAAGAGGCCAGGAGGTCGTTCGCTTCTCCTGGTTGATCGTTCTGCTCACTGCTGCGCAGTATGGAATTATGGGCCCATTTTGAGGGAACCAGATTCTGGCATTTATTTTTCTAAGGAATGTCAGGTGCACACATGAGTAGAGGAGAAGCAACAGCGGGGAAGAAGGTGAGTATCTCTCCAAGGGCCCAGAAAAGAAGAGGCTGAGAGGCAGGAAGAGATCTGCGGAGATGTTTTTAAGAGGCCCCACTGTTGGAGCTGTTTCAGTCCTTGTAGGTGGGGGTTTTGTGTGAGGGAGTTGGCCCCCAGGAGGGTAGTTCTGGTGTCAAGGGCAGAGACTCATTCCCAATGTGCAGATGGTTCCACTAGTTGGTTAAAAGGGACCCCTGGGAACAGCCCCCATAGTTCCTCAGAGCCCTGGTTTGGGAATGCAGAGAAGGTTGGAATGGCCAGCTGGAAGGCTACAGGTGCCTATAGCCTTTATGTGTGTAACGGGCTTTCTCCAGTATCCTGGCTCTTTGTAGTAATCGCAGAAAGTACTGGTTTGAAAACTGTTTCACATGTTGCAACTGAAAATTGAGGGGAAAAAAAGAAAAGGGCACCTGGGTGGCTCAGTGGGTTGGGCCTCTATTCGGCTCAGGTCATGATCACGGGGTCCTGGGGTCAAGTCCCACATCGGGCGCTCTGCTCGGCAGGGAGTCTGCTTCCTCCTCTTTTTCTGCCTACTTGTGATCTCTCTCTGTCCAATAAGTTAAAGAATTTTTTTTTCTTTAGAGACAATTTGGAGTCAGTTTTAATCATCCTAAAAAGGCCCATCAGGTTTTTGTTGTCAAGTCTGAATTTTGTTCCACTCAGCAGGCTTGAGGGAAGATAGTACAATTGCTCAGTAGTATTTCCAGCAAGTGTTCTAGTGTCCCTGCAGACAACTTTCTGTTCCCTTAATACTTCTTAAGATGTTCCTGTCGGGCCAGAGTCACCCAGTGTTTGGCCTGGTCCTCACCAACAAGTATGTGAACTTATTCCTGGAAATAAATTTGAATAACTGTTCACCACATCTCTGGGGATCCTCAGCCACATTGGGAAATGCTAACTGTGGCTCATGGTTCAGTCTCGAATGCAGGGAACTGAGGTTACTTGGAACCCCAAAGTTTTAACTGCCCTGTTTTAACAGGTTCAGCACAGGAAGGTTTGGGGAGAGAATCTGAGGAAAAGGGACCTTCAGGGAAAGAAGTGGGGGGTGAGTTCACAGGAGATGGGGATTGGGTAGAGGGAAAAGAGGAGGAGGCCACTGGAGGCCACTGAACACCAGGTGGTGGCAGCTCTGGAGACAAAGAAGATGGCGGAGGGACAAGAGGATCAAAAGCCATTTTGACGCCTTTCAGTGGCTCGTCTCTGTGAATTCAGAAATGGTGTTTTGCAGAGAAGCACCATTAGGTCCTTAAAGCCTTTGGAAATCTCCAAAATAGCCATTGAAGCAGGCATTGGATCTGGTTTTAACAGCTGTAGCCATGGCTGTTAAAATTGTTGATAAGGGTCAATTTGGGGAGATCAAAAGTTCCCCATAAGGACCATTGATATTCTAAGTTCTTGTGAAGTTAGTCCATTTAGTTAGAAGCGCATGTGAGGAGAGGTAGTTTTTAAATATAACACCAGTGGATGCCACAAGATGGGGACAGAGGGTTACCCTCAAAGCATTTTGATGTCTGGGATCCCATTACTAAGCTTTTTCTTTAGAACAAAAAGAAATTCCTAACAGGAATTTCAACAGGAACAGGTCAGTTTCAAAAGGAGTTGGTCTGAAGGCCAGCTCAGGTCCAGAGAGATGGGGTCTGGAGGCTGATGGTCAAGAATGAACTTGGAATCGTCTTTGGTGCAAAGAGGGTAGTTTTATCAAAGCACGGGGACAGGAGCCAGGGATGGGGCAATATGCCCTGGGGTTGGGACGAGTGGCCAGTTATATATTTTCAAGTTGAGGGGCACTTACGGATAGCATCAGTCTCTAAGAAATTTGTTATCAACGTTTTAAGGACATTGAGGGACTGGCTGTTACTAGCAAAAAGCATTTATTGCTGTGTAGTAAAAGCTTAGTCTTGAGACCTTTAAGTGTGTATCAATGAACCTTACGCTTGGAGGATGATTGTTAATATACGTCTTCGGGGGTAGAGTTAAAGGTAGTTTCCTGAGGAATATTTATATCTTCAAGGAGGTTAACAGGATCATTGATGTAGGGCTAACGTTGAGCTAAGGTTGCCTTTTGCCCTTAGCGAAGTAGCAACATCGAGGCAGTGAGTTCCTAGAGGAATGTCACTCTGGCCGTC